CTCTTCTGATGCTATGACCTCAAGCATTCACCACATCAAATTGATAAATCAGATAGATATTAATTGAAGAAGAGAGCAAGATCTGTGTCTGAGATGCAGAGCTAGAGGTCATATGATTAAAAGCTGCTCATTCAAACCTCTCAGATATTCTGCCACTCTCATGATAGCTAAGGTAATCCCTGAGCTGGTACTGGACAATGATGATATAAATACAAGTGAGGATTTGAGAAAAGAGTAGCTCCAATCAAAAGACACTGAAAAGACACTGAAAGAAGTGAAATAAGAAGTTTATGAAGAAGCAATGAAGAAGATTTAAATCTAAGATGATATTCAAACCTTTCACTATCAATGCTCTAGTAGATAATGCCTTTTCAACTAGAGCAATGATAGACAGTGAATGTAATATCTATGATATTATTTCTCAATTCTACATTAACAAGCATAAGCTCCTGTGTATTGAAATTCTCTCTGTTAAAATGACCAGCTTTGAAGACTCTATGGAACTCTCTAAGTAACTGGCATTTGAATTGATATAGATGGTCACATAACTGAACAGATCTTTCTCTATATGGTAAATGAGTTACATGATTATAATATGTATGTAGGCAATCCCTGGCTGACCCAGTAAAAGATAACCATGATCTCTTATTGAAGAATTGTGAGATTTGAAGAGAGTGGTATAGAGATAGAGTCTAGTTCAAATGCAAAAGCTGATGTGATTTTCATCTCTACTGTAAGCTTTTCTAGACTTGTGAGCATTTGAGAGAAGTGAAATATCAAGATCTTCACTGTCAGTTTGACTAACATTCAAAAGACTCTAGAAGTAAAATCAAAGATTGACCTTAGAGAAAAGCTATCTGAACATTATTATAAGTTTTTGAATGTATTTGATAAGGAAACCACCAACACTCTACCCACACTTCAAGGCCCAGGTAAAGATCATGAAATTAAACTGATTAAAATGGCTGATAATTGCACAGAACAACCCTCTTGAAGTCTACCATATAATATATCTTGAGAAAAACTACTGACTTTGTGAAAGACTCTTACAGATTATCTAGATAAGAGTTTTATTAGAGTGAGCAACTCCCCCACAGCCATCTCTGTACTATTCATAAAGAAGTCTAAAGATGGGTTAAGATTCTGTGTAGACTATTGAGCTTTTAACAAAATCATCTGAAAGAATTGATATTCTCTATCATTAATCAGTGAAACTCTACAGTGAATTGAATGAGCTAAATGATTTACTAAGCTGGACATTATTGCAGCTTTTCACAAGATTCAAATCACAGAAGATGATGAGTGGGTGACAGTCTTTAGAACAAGATACAGACTATTTGAGTGACTGGTTACACTCTTTGATTTGATCAATGCTCTGAGCATGTTTTAAAAATATATCAACTGGGCATTATATGAATATCTGAATGACTTCTGCTCAATCTATTTAGATGACATCTAGATATTTTTCTCAAGAAGCATATGAGAGCATTGTGAGCATGTACAAAAAATGTTTATATGTCTATGAGAAGCAGGTCTGCAGGCAAACATGTTAGAAAGTGAATGTGAGCTGCATAAGAAGGAAACTCTCTGCATTGCTAACTACTATATAACAAAATACTAAGCTTGATGAGATGAAAGAGGTGCTGGGGCCTGCTCAGATTATAATCTCTCACATAATCATTTGATCATGTGAGAATATTTGGCCTAATCAAGCACTGAGCTTAATCTGACATCGAGTCTAACTGGGCACCGGGCCTCAGTTGAGCTCAGTTGGGTACTGAGTCTAACATCATCCTCTGGTCTAGAGACAGACATGTTCTCATGCTGGTAGGTTGTCATCAACCTTGTTCTTCAGATAGCTATCTGTCTCCCATGCCTTCAGCCACTCATTTAGTCACCTTGAGGGTCTGGCTTTTGTAGGATTAGCTTCATGAAAGTCACATATGGCATGTGGTGATTCTTTGAAGTTATGAGCTAGGTATCAAGATGAGTTCTCATCAAATCTCTTTCAGTAGACTTGATATTGCAGTTTGTATTGATTTATTCAACTGACTAATATATGCTCCACTTTTCATTCATTTTCTCCATCTATCTCAATTGAATCTGGTGGTTTGACAGTCTGCTCTGGTAGAGAATCTCTTGAATCTTTGCACAGCTTGTCTAAGAAGAAGATTGAATGAATTTTCATGATTGTAGAAAGATTCAGTCTATAGATGTTGCTCACTCTCTTTAGAATTCTGAAGAAGTCTGTGTTCTGTGCTGTCAGCTTACAGCTTGATCAGTCAATTCTGTATGATTTCAATGTCATGTAGACAAAATCTCTCACTATGAAGTTAGATTCTTAGTGATGTCTGTCAGTCTGCCTTTTCATCTGTTCTTGTGCTGTCTTCATGCTTTTGTCTACTCACTTCCAGATCTCTTTCATCTGTTTAACAAAGTTTTGAGCAGCTCTTCAATTTGTCCTTTTCTCTGTTCTTAGTTCTCTTGACAGAGGCCTTCAGTCAAATGATGTTCATGACTCATATTTATTTGCAGCTAGAAAGGAAGAGATCTCAGTGAAGATGTTTAAGATGACTGCAGAAGCATGATCTATAATGAGTAATCACTCATTTCAGTCATTTTGATAGTAATTAACATATGAGTGAAGATGTGTGGCAATATACTGATTTGTTGCCTCTGTCTGCTCATCTGTCTATGCATGATATGCTGTTGAGAGTTTCAACTTTATGCCTAGAATTTCTGTGAACTCATTTCAGAAGTTTGATATGAACTGAGGGCCACAGTCAGAGACAATTAAGTCTGATGCCTCATTATAGAAATAGTAGAATTGAATGAATAATCAAACCAGCTCACAGACTGTAACTTCATGAGTGATAGGAACTGAAATTGCCTTCTTGCTTAATCAGCAGACTATAACTAGAATGACATCACAGTCACTTTTGCTCTTTGACACATTCATGATGTCCATTGCAATATGCTACTATGTCTGTTCTGGTATTGATAGTGGCTTTAGCAGATCAGAGGCTAGTCTCTTGAAATCTTATTAACTCAGCATGTATGACAGTTCTGAATATAGTATAAGACATCTGCCCACTAGGTGGTCCATCAATAGCAGGGATGAACCAGAGCCAGGGTCTTCCATCCCCCTGGATGTGCTGTTGAGGTCTGATCATGAATTTTCTTTAGCAGAGTAGCTATAAGAGTTTCTTTCTGAACAGATACTATCAATCTTTCATGATAGAGCAATATATTATTCTTCATTGTATAGAGGCTATTCTCCTCTCCTACTTGCTGCTGCAGAGGCTCAATTGAGATGATTGTTTTGTTTAAATATACTATACATTCAGCAATGTTCTCTTTCTCTGAGAAGTTGATGCTAGCAATATTTATAGAGAGAGTGATCTGAGGGTCAAGAGTCTCTGATTCTAGGAGAATCTGCATATAGCTGTTCTGTTGCTTCTTAACCTGCTCAGATCTGCTCAGTGCATCTGCTAGCAGGTTGACCTTATCTGATCAATACTTAATCTTGAAATAGAAATGCAAAAGAAATTCTGTTCAGTGAATCTGATGTGCATTCAGCTTCTTGATTGTCATGAAGTATTTCAGTGCACAATGATCAGTGAGAACCTTGAATCATTCTTTCTGTTGTAGTCCCTCAAGCTCAGCTCATCACTTCTGCAATGCTCAGATGACTGTAAGCATTTTCTTGTCATGAATCTCATAGTTGAGCTCTGCATCATTCATTGACTTGAAGTAGAAGACCACAGAGTGTCTTAATGCAGGTTTCATGTTCAGAGTCAAAGTAATATAGAGTTGAAGCCTCCACCAGCTGCTTCTTCAGTTTCTCAAAGACTGATTGACATTCTGATGTCTACATGAATGGAACTGTTTTCTTTGTCAACTGGTATAGTGATTTTGCAATTCAGCTATAGTTTCTTATAAATCACTGATAGAAGTTGTCACATTCTAGAAATGATTGAACATCTTTTACTGTGATTGAAATCTGCCACTTTGTGATGACAGCAGTCTTCTCAGGGTCTGTTTCAATCCTCTCTATGATAATGATAAATCTCAGATATTTTGTTCTCTGAACAGCAAACTTGTATTTCTGAATACTAGCTTGCAAGTCTACTGTCTTTAATCAGTTCAGTACCAGGTTCACTTGCTGCTTGTGTTCTTCAAGAGTCCTGCTGTAGATTAGAAGATCATCCATGAATGCTGTCATGAACTTGTCCAGATAGTCAAAGAAGATACTGTTGACAAATCATTGAAAGCAGACAGAAGCATTTGTAAGGCTGAAGGGGATCATCTGGTATTTATAGATTCTGTAGTGGGTTCTAAAGATGATCAGATCCTCTGACTTAGAGTCTATTCAGATGCAATGGAATCTCTGCTAAATGTTCAGCTTTGTAAAGTATTTTATCTCATTGAGTTGGTCCATCAGCTCATTTATTAGAGGCAAGAAATACTGATTTTATTTGATCATAGCATTCAGTTTGTGAAAGTCAACACAGAATTGTAGCTTCTTTCCACTACAAGCAATCAGAATTGAGGAGGTGTAGAGAGCTGAACTTGAAATGACAAAGCTCTTTGCTAGATTGATTTCAAGATAGATCTTCACTGCTTCTAGTTCCTTCAGATTCATCTTATATAGAGATGCATGTTCAATGTTCTGAATGAGATCAGTGTCAGACTGAAGCTCTATCTTAAAATCAATATTCTTCTGTAGAGAAGATAATTCATCTGATGCTTTCTTTGAGAAATAGTTCTTCTGATCTTTTAATCATTCTGATAAGTTGCTGATCAGCTTCTCATCAGACTCCTTCTCAGCTCTCACTAAACTTCACTTCTGCTCAAGCTGTTTATCAATTTCATACAGACTGGTTATGAAGACTGTTGAGTTCTTGTTTTTTGTATAACTGTGGAAAGAAGCAGTCTCAATGAAGTTCATATCCATCATCTGTGATGCTGTCTCCTCCCAGGTTGGTCTCTGTCTTGTCTTAGATGTCATAACTGAGCTGATCTCTTTCAATCTGCAGAGCTGAGTCTGATGCTTCTGTCTGATCTTCTTGTTCAGTTTGATCTCTCTTCATTTTACATCTGTCTGATGCTCAGACTTAGAGTCTGAATGCTTCAGTATTGATCAGAGCACTATCTTCAGCATCAGCTCTATCATCTGTTCAGAGATAGACTGTTCACTCAGCCAAACCAGATGTTGGTTTTTAACATCAAGTCATATATCCTGTGCTGCCAACCACTTTCATCCCAGGATGACAGAGTACTGACCTAGGTTCATCACCAGCAGAGGAACATTCTGGAATCTCCAGCCATTCACTCAGAGGTTTAGAGTCAATGTGCAGTCTATCACCTCATCAGAGGTGCCATTGTATCTCTTTATGCAGCATTTGAATGAGAGTTTCTGAAACTTTCTATTAAAGAATCTTATCAATTCTATAGCATATCAGATATCAATAAAATTCACATCATTTGCTTCAGTATCAGCAAGAGAATTTGTAGAAGTAGCAATTTCATTGTGAGCTAACTTAATTGAGACATTAAAGCTCTTTCCCTCAATTAAGTTCTTCATCTCAAACCTCTCACAGACTATTGAACTATTTGAGATGAAGTCTTCTCTCAGACTCACTCTTTTTCTGAATCTGCTGAAGACTCAGAAGTGTCATTCTCTGTGAGCTTAGTGATCATCTGTTGAGACTTCTGCTTTGCAGAGCAGTTTCTGGCAATGTGATCTTTCTTCTTGCAGTAGTAGCACTGAATATCTGAATGAGTGCTTAAGACTTTCTTTATGATAAGAGATTTTGTGGCTGAGATACTGTGGGAAGTTTGACTGTCAGAGACTCACAAAGTGTTTTGCTTGAAGATATTAGACTCATTTCCTCACAAGCTCTTTGACTTCTAAGTGACATTGATTGTCTGAAGAATGTGAGCTATCTGAGTACAGATCTTCTGAAACTTAGCATATATATTGATAATTATATTGACTATTATCATCATTCTCTGAAGATCAAAGAACAGCTTGTCATTGAAGTCTGTCTTGTAGTTCTCTTTGACAATCTTGACCTCATCTGCCAGATGTAAGAATTTTGTGACAAATTCATGATAATTGTTCTCATTGTGCATAATCAGCTTGCAATAATCACTCTTGACATTTTGCAGCTTGTTAGCATTCTCATATATTGACTTGAGGTGCTCAAATATCTCTTCTGCAGTCTGATATTGCTCAGAGTGGTTCTCTTTCATATGAGATGCAATGTGATCTACTGTGTCCTCATCAGTCTGATTTTCAATGTATGCAATTCTCATGTGTTCAGTAGAGTAGTGATCAGTGTTCTCTCAGAGCTTGTTCTTCATCCAGAAGAGTCAGTGTTCAAATTTTGACTTCTTGCAGTCAGTGAGGTGTTTTGAGTCATCAATCTTGACAGATCTCTGGGTAGTCTCAGAGAGAATGATCTCTTGACTTGCTGTTTGATTGCTGACTGTCATGTGAATCAAAGTGTGACTAAGTTCATCACATTCAGCAATTAGCTCATCAATTTGACTTTGCTTGACAGCAGTCTGATCAATGACATTGTTCTGTTTCATTCTCAAATGTGTGATTGTATCTCTCAATATTTTTTCATCATCAAAGATGCTGTCAAAGATTGCTGCTAACTCTTTGTAGATATGATTCTTGTCTGAGTGAATTGTCTGTCTGAATTCTTCAAGTGAGATCTGTGATTGATCAGTTGATCTAGTTAGAACATATCATCAGTTTCTCTTGATTTTTTCAGAGAGCTGGAAGTCTGAGGTGGTCATTCTGATCTAGGTCTCTTTGATGACTAGAGGGGATGAGATGAGTTGCTGTTGTATATTATGCTGTCAAATTCTTGCTGAGCAGATTCTACTCAATTCTGAGTAGAAGAAATAGAATAAAGCTTAGTATTATGTTAGGAAGTGAATGTGAGCTGCATAAGAAGGAAACTCTCTGCATTGCTAACTGCTATATAATGAAATACTAAGCTTGATGAGGTGAAAGAGGTGCTGGGGCCCGCCCAGGTTATAACCACCTGCATGGTCATTTGATCACGTGAGAATATTTGACCTAATCGGGCACTGAGCTTAATCCGACGTCGAGTCTAACCGGGCACCGGGCCTCGGTCGGGCTCGGTCGGGCGCTGAGTCTAACAGACATTAGAAAGAGTGAGTTCAAGATGAACAGCACAAAATATCTTGAATTCATCATTGAAGCAGGCAAGAGTATACAAATAAATTCAGAGAAGATTAAAGCTGTTTTGAAATGAGTGACATCTACTACTTTTAAAGATGTATAAGAATTTTTAAACTTTGTCAATTTCTATAGATGATTTATCAGAGATTTCTCAAAGATCATGATCTCATGCTTACTGACTAAACATCTCATCTAACATTCACAATGTCTTTAATGTAAAGCTTCTACATGCTGCAGTGATAGATTCTCTGCCTAGTCAGAGGCAAATCAACTAACAGTCACTGACTATAGAGATCTCAGAAGAATCTAAGTTTGAGATTGAGAAAATTCAGAGTGAATAAATCTATCAGAGGAAAAAGTAATATCTTATTAAATGAGTAGGTTGAGCTGAGTCTATATGAAATGACATGAGTCTCTTATAAGAAGTGAAGGCTTTGAACACTTGAGAGACCTCTCAGCAGATAAAATTAGATGTAAAAAGAGCTTTAAATAGTTGTAAAGACCAACAATAAAGAGGGAGAAGAGAAGTATTATAAGAGATTGAACCTCTAGATTTGCTCTGGATGACTGACTATAAGAAGTTAAACCTCTAGATTTACTCTGACTGACTGACTCAGCCTAGCCATCATTTGCATCTGCGCATGTGATCATGCTATGTGAGCTCACTTAAGCTTAAGTTCTTATCTTATTCTTTTCCTCCCTTTCTCAAGCAATTCATTCTTGTTATATAGTAGGACTAGTCTCTAGTTGTTAGAGCTTAACCCTTTACACTGACTCAGCCTAGTCATCATTTGCATGTGTGCATGTGATCATGCTATATGAACTCACTTAAGCTCAAGTTCTTGTTTTATTTTTTTCTTCCCTTTCTCAAGCAATTCATTCTTGTTATATAGAAGAACTAGTCTCTAATTCTTAGAGCTTAACTCTTTACAATTTGTCAGTCAAATCTGCCAGCCTCTGCTTCTGATTAATGCTACTGTCATGATTGAGTGATCAGCTTAGTCTGTCAGTCACATTGATAGAATGTAAGAGATCTATTCTCAGTCTGATATCTTACTCTCTTATACTTGAGAAGTTGCTATCATCAACCTTCTCAGATATATCTAGCAGCTGATTTGTTATCATGTATACATCTGCAAAAATCATATAGATGTTCTGTTGAGATGAGAGAGATGATTATAACTAGACTACTTTTCAATCTCTTTCACAACAAACACTTAATCATGATCTGATTGAAAATCACTACTGTTTGTAGAAGAGTGATCTTGTAAATGATATAGACAGTGAGCAGTAGCTCACTTATCTTGTCAAATAAGAATTATAATTTTTGAGCTCAGTTTTAGATTTTTTCTTCTTAAAGCTGAAACTCACTCTGTAGCTTATCAACTATTACTGCAAGTGAAACTGTCATCTCATTTCAGCATTTGAGTAGTAGCTCATTATGTTACTTCAGAGCTTTTTTTTTGAGATATAAAGAAATCACTTTGAGAACTGCTGTCTTCTCTATTAAAGTTGTCATGAACTTTAATTATAATGTAAAAGCAATTATATCTATCTCATCTAAGTTATAAAGTATAAGATCTGTCACTTAGAGCCTCACTGATTACTTCTTGCTATATAAAAAAATAGCAATATCATTTCAGATATCTGTTATTGAGAGTGTGAATTGATCATATCTCTCAGCAATAGATCAGTTATTCTGTCTTATTCTGTTGTTCTTCATATCATATGTATAACACTCTGTGCTAGCAGTTCTATCACACTCTAGATTGACTCTAATGTGCAAAATCAACTCTCACAAATAGTTTATTACTCTCAACACTTCTCAACTAATTTCTTTTGAGCTCAGTCTTTCAATAAATGAGTGAGTGATACTGGCATGCTCTGAATAGATCTCATGAGTGATTAATTTCTTCTTTCACTCATTGAGTAGAGATTCATAATTACAGAGCTGGGATTTCAGATTTATCACTCAGTTCTCTTACTTTTTTAACTGCATGTTGAGATATACTAGTCTGTTCTCTCACTCTCTCAATCATACATTGAGCTCTTCAAGCTTCTCTATGATGTTCAGTATTATTTCCTCATTATAATGATTATCTTCTGCAATTGAGTGACTGAAATCTGCAAAGACAGAAGTGATAGATCTTCACTTTCTAATATACTTAATGACTTTTGTTCTGAATATCTGAATTCACTAGTGAAAAACAGTCATTCATTCTGCTGCTGAAATTTTTTGCATTATTGCACTCATCTTATTATATCATCTCACAGAGATAGTGAATAATATTTTCTTTCTTTTAAGACAGTTGAATGAGATAATTAATGATTGTAATTCTGTGTATTGATTACTTTTATTTCTTCACACTTCTGTAATTGCTATTGTGTACTTTTCTGTAAATATCTGCATGTATTGATAAGAACTGCTGTAGTGAATATTCTTATCAGCATTTTGCCTCTTGCCAGCTAACCCAACATCCTCTGATTTTATTGAGAATTCAGAAGTCATCAAAATGATGAGCGCATTCAAATGACAAGAATATTTATCTTTAATATTTTATGAGATAATTAAGACAATTACTTGAAGGCAATCAAGATCTGATTCAGAGAATGATATCATGGTTAATGCTTTTTTTAAAGTAATTGAACTAGTAATTATAAATCAGAGTGACTAGCAATTATGATTTAAAGTGACTGATTTAGCAGATCTTGAATTAATTTGATGTATATCTTGAATCTTGATTGATTCAGCAGATCATGCACTTTTTAGAGAAACATAAACATGCTATCAATTTGATGTATATAAGTAATTAAATAGATAGAATAAGTCATATCTGATTCTCTTCTAATAATATGAGCAGATACTCTGCTATATATATATATAAAGGGTTAAGCTCTAAGAACTAGAGGTTAGTCCTTCTATATAATAATGATGAATTGCTTGAGAAAGGGAAGAAAAGAATGAGATGAGAACTCAAGCTTAAGCAAGCTCACATAGCATGATCACATGCGCATGTGTAAACAATGACTAGGCTGAGTCAGCCAGTCAAAGTGAATCTATGAGTTCAATCTCTTATAATACCCCTCTTCTCCCTCTTTGTTGCAGGCCTTTACAACTATTTAAAGCTCTCTTTATATCTAATTTTGCCTGCTGAGAGGCCTCTCAAGTGTTCAAGACCTTCACTTCTTGTAGGAGACTCACATCATTCTATGTAGACTCAGCCCAATCTACCTATTTAATGAGATATTGCTTTCTTCTCTAGTAGGTTCATTTACTCTGAATTTTCTCAATCTCAAACTCAGGTCCTTTCAGAGTCTCTATAGTGAGTGGCTGCCAGTCAGTTTGCCTCTGACTAGGCAGGAGATTCATCATCACAGCATGTAGAAGCTTTACATTAAAGATATTGTGAATGCTGGGTGAGATGTCTAGTCAGTAAGCATGAAATTCTATCTTTTCTAGCACAGTATATTGATTGTATTTCACATTCAGCTTCTTGCACAGATGATTAGTTCTCATATTCTCTAAGCTCAACCAGATCTTATCTCCAGGTTGAAAGCTTGAAGATGGGTCTTTTTGTCTATTCATATATTTCTCTTGAGATTGCTGAGCATCTGTCATTTTTACTTGAGCTCACTTTAACACTTCATAGACCTTTTTCATATAATCATCTGCAAACTCAATAGAATTATATGGTGTTTCAACAGGGGGTGTATCAGCTATATCAATAAAGAAGATATGAAAAAGATACATTAAAAAGAATGAGCTCATGCTCATTGAGACAGCATCTTTATTACTGATGACCAGCTCTGCTAGAGGAAGTCATTCACATCAGTCATTCTGTTGAAAGCTAACATACTTATGTAGATAGATTTTCAGAGTCTGATTCATTCACTCTGTAGCTTTGTTAGTCTCTGAGTAATAGACTGTGAAGAGTCATCTCTTAATGCCTAATTTCTCACACATCTGAGTTCAAAATATGCTTATGAAAGCTAATCCTTGATCTGACACCATCATCTTAGAAATGTCATATTGAGAAATGATGTTATGAAGAAACACTTTAGTCACTGTCTCTGCATCAGTTTTCTTAACTGCTTTTAATATAACTCTCTTGGTCAGTCTGTCCATTATAACCATGATGTTCATGTATTCTTTAGAGCTTGATAAGTTCACAATAAAGTTCATGAAAAGCTCCTGCCATATGCATTCAGAAATAGAAAGAGGCTTAAGTAGTTTCTAATATTGATCTCTTCATGCAATGTTTAATCTGCAAAGATGACAGTTTCTGATCATTCTTCTCACATCAGCAGCATAGTCTGGCCACTAGAACTTACATTTTAGAACTCCTGCTACTTGCTCTCACCCAGGATGACTGGTAAGAGATGAGTCATGAGCCTCATGCACTAATCTGATTTAAAGAGGTTTGAAGTCTGGCACTCACTTACAATCTTGAGAGAAAAGCTCTCTGTTCTCATTTAAAGAGCACTCAGAGACAGAGGCCTTAGTGCTGAGTTCAGAAGAAAATCTGAATCTTCTCTCATAAAGAGTTTGCTTCAGACACTGCAGAATCTTGTCATTTTTGCAGATCTCATTTCACTGAGCTTGAAGAGACATCTCAGATTCCATACTGGTAGCAGTCACTATTGGTTCCATTTCAGATATTAGTACATTAAACTTAAGTAGTTGAGCTTGCCTCTGCTTGATTCTCTCATCATCAGCACTCTGTGGCATGTTCTGCTCTTTTTGTGATAGAGCATCTGGTTCAGCATTTAACTTCTTTGGCCAGTAATCAATTCTGAAGTTGAATCAATAGAGAATATTCATTCAATGTAGCTGTCTTTCATTTAGTCTGCATGTAGTTATGAAGTATTCTAGATTCTTATGATCTGTGAGAATCTTGAATTTCTTTACACTTTGTAGCTCAGTGTTCTATTTCTTTAAACACTCAATTATTGCTAATAACTTCTTATCATGAATCTCATAGTTGCATTCCGCAGGTGAATGCTTGTGAGAG